ATTCTAGAACGCCTTTCGGCGAGCCTAGTTCCTTTTTTCTGTTGGGCTTATATCTAGGATTTATGGGGTCATAGAAGTTGTGTATTAAACTCAGGTTTTTGATTTTAAAAGTTGTCTGTTACTATAGTCTTCCATTCATTTATTTTCTTCATTAATGCTTCCAGGATGCATGTAAAGGTACGTTCTCCTGTCTTGCTTGACTCTGAGTTGCTGCACTAAGGTAGACTGGGCTGCATGCCTTATACACTCTCAGTTAAAGCCACATCCTCAGAAAGCCCTCATTCTGCACCTTCCCTCCGTTACCTTCCTTTCTCTTACCTTCCTACTGGCTCTCTCTGCTTCAGCAACATGAGCCTGCTGTTCCTTACACCGTGTGGCACAAACACCTTGGGCCTCAGCACAGGCTGTTCCTTCAGCCTGAGATGCTCCAGCCCCAGGTATCTGCGTGACCCCTTCACCCACCTCCTTTGGTCGTAGCCACGATGTCCCCTTTGTGACATCTTCCTCAAGCACCCTACTTGATGCTCTGACCTTCCTCTTCATCAGCCTATCTCCTTAGCTTGCGTTGGTTTCTCTCCATGACTTCATTGCCATTGATCATACCGTATGTTACCAGCTGTGTGCTGGCTGTACCTCAAGCCTCCTGCAGCCCCCACCAGGACATGGATTCTGTCTGTTTTATTTATGCTGGGTCTGAAGTACAAGCACACAGCCTGCCTAGGGTGGCCCCTCTATAAATATTTGTTAAGTGAATACTTGTCTGAAATACAGATATTATCAGCTCCAAGCATGGGCACCTTGTCAAACAGTAAATTGTATAAATGTCTAACCACTATGCTGTATACCTGAAACTAATATAAAATAATATTGAATGTCAAATGTAATTGAAAAAGAAAAAAAAGAAAATTAGAATAATTTCATCTGACATTCTCTAGGGATGGACATTAGATCTTGGTAATTGCCTCATTTTTTTGTAAATTAGTTGCCAACGGACCAGTTAATATGAAGGGCTACAATTCCTAGGAATGAATCTGACAGTTTCCTTTTCTTGGAAAATCAATACATTATTTATCTTTTGGCCCCTCCAACATTCTTCTTGATTTCTCAAAGGTCCTTCATGTGACTCTAAGATAACATCAATAAGATTCTGCCGGCCCCCCACCTTGACTGCAATCCTGTTTCTAAGCGAAGTTTTTGCATCATCAACCTTTCCTGTGCACCTGTCCAGGACAAGGCACCGTCCTGAGCCCTGAGGACACAAAGGCACAGAGGACATTTTCTCTGCTTCTGAAGTTTTCTCGGGCGTCAGTGTAGGGAGAGAGCTGCAGCTAAAGTGACAGTGGCCTGGTGAAGCTGTGGGTGGTGAGGGCACACGAGTGGGTGGGCAGTAAACATGGTGGGACAAGGTTCTGTCAGCATTGGCATAGGGAACCAGGTTTTCTTGCTATGGATTATGCACTCAACAAATATTTATTGAGCTTCTACTATGTGGCAGGCACTACACTGAACAATGGGGATACGGTCATGATGTGGACACACACAGATTGTGTCCTTATGGAGCTCACAGCCTAGTGAACAAACAAACAAGCAAACCCATATATTAAAAAAAAAAGTTTGTAAAGAAGGAAATAAACATGACGATGAGAGCCAGGGTGAGAGGTGAAGAATTATTTAAATGGGGAAGAATGTTGGAGAGAGCCTCTCCAAGGACCTCCGATGGACTGGCCAGGAGAATGAAGGAAGGTCATTCCAAGCTCTGGCAGAAGCGTCGGGGTGGGAAGGGTGTACTGTGTACAGAAACTGAGGGGAGACCACTGTGTTGGGTGGGAAAAGGGAGCGTGGCACTCAGTGTGGTGGGTGGGGTGAGGCAAGACGCAGACTATACAGGGCCTTGTAGGTGATGAGAGGACATTGGATTTCTGCTTAGAGTCATGAGAAGCATTTTGGGGAAATAGCATGGTTTTATTTCCATTTTGCAAAGATCCCTATGGCTACAATGTGGTGGACAGATTGGAGAAAGGCAGGGAGGTGGGTGGGATGGCTGCTGCAGTTGTTCTGGAAGAAAGGATGCCACCACCACCACCACCACAAACAATAACAAAACAACCCATCTCCAAGGAAGTGCCATAGTGTTTCGTTCATTGTGAATCACCAATGCCTAGAGCAGCACCCAGCATAATTATCTGCTATGTATAGATAATTAATAATAGTAGCTGCTAACATTAAAAAAAATGCTTATGTTCACATCTCATTTAATTTTCACAGTAACTTTATGATTTAGGGCAAGGGATTGGCAAACTATAGCCCATAGGCCTGAACCAGCCCACAGCTTATTTTGTAAGCCTATCAGCTAACAATAGTTTTTATGTTTTTCAAAAGTTGTAAACAAAACAAAGCAAAGAAGAATATAAGAGACCATCTGGCCCATAGGCCTAGAATATTTACTATCTGGCTCTTTGTAGACCTCTGATATAGAGTATTTGTCAGGATAGGCTAGATCGTGCTGTGTAACAAACAGCCTGTAATCTCAGTGATTTAGCCTAACGAAGGTTTATCTCTTGCTGACTCAGAGTCAGCTGTGGGCTGTGCAATCCTCCCAGGCATCTATCATCCAGACGATCAGCCATCCAAGCTATTCCGATCCTGTGGCTCTGATATCTTAACCTGAGGCCTCTTGGTTGTCATGGCAGAAGAAGAGAGAGGCTGAGAATCTCATTGGGGCCTTTCATTAACTCTTGTTTCCTGCACATATAAATCATTAATTAGAAGTCATCAGATGGCCCTGCCTAACTATGAGGGGCTGAGAACTGTAAAAGAGCACCTGGAATGAGATGAGAAAACTGAGCTTCAGAGAGGCTTACTCAAGTTTACACAGCAAGGAAAAGGCAGAACAAAGACACACACTAGGCAAGGAGGATTTCCAGAACCCATGATCTAGTGCATTCTATTACATTCTCCTTCCCTTACATGCTCCTTATCTTGGCCACAAACTCCATTAAACATCTCTTTGCTTTGGAGAGGCTCAGATAGAATGTGCCCATGGTTGCTGGCATATCTCCCAGAGACATCTTCTTAGCTCTGTGCCTCTCTCCCCCAGCCTCTTCCTCCTGGCTCTGGCCCCAATGGGGGTGGAAGGTGCCACAGCCTGAATAACTCCCAGCTCCATCGGCTCCCTGTAGTGATGAATGACACCCATCTATCGTGGGCTCTGCTGATAGCCCAGCTTATCCATCATGGCCTGGCACTCCCAGGTGATGTATTAGTGCCTGGGGAATGGATTGCTCAATAACTGGTCTGCTTGGGAAGGAAACCGAGCCAAAGAGTGGATTCAATCTAATTACCTGTTCACCCCGGTCCTCTGGCAGCCCCTCTTGGGCTCCCTGCAGAAATATGACTTGCAGTTCTTGAGCCACCAGGTCATTCCCAACTCATTGCTGATGAACAGGGCATTATT